GCCTTTCAGACCGTTCACTAATATGAAGCACAGTGACGAGTACGATCGTAAACAAAATAGAAAAGTAGACAAAGCTCAAAATAATATTGTCTCTCCTCAACAACAACAAAAACAAAAGATACTCGCGACGTATATGATTTTCCATTTGGCGAATATTGGTGAAAATCGATATGTTTAATGCCATAAAAAGTGACTTCATACCTACAGGGCCCCTTAAGCCACGCGGCAAATTATATGTGGCTAAATTGTGAAGTCTTTTATCTGTTTTTTTTTCTTGACAAAACACCTGGCAAGTGATACAGATTAACAAAGGTGTGATGCAGATAAATGCTCTTCTATACAAAGTAATTAATGTTTCAACTTGTTTCCTTTTTCTCAATTTTATATCGCCTCTGGTCATTTAACTTTCTTGTTTCGGTTTCCGGTGAATCCTTAACAATTTACCTATTTGTTATTTCACAGTCAATGGAAACTAAAAATAACCCAACGATTTTTTTAGCGAACTAATTTATATGATTTAAATATCAACAATTGAGATATTGATAATGACATCATTTCCATGGTCGCAGAGTAAGTTGACAATGATTGTACTCATGTGAGCATGCGGTGTCGAGGTGCCACGGCGATACAGCGCAATATTGTGTTAACTTGAGAGGACTTCTCTCATTTTTCGAACCGGTTCATGTTAATAAACGCTACCTTTAATAATCCCACAGTGTATGTGACGTTAACTTCAAGTTATACTTTATACTGTTTTATAATTGCAATCGAAAATCCTTGTAGCTCGAGTGTAGGGGTGTCAAAAACCTTATCTTCCCGAAAGCTTAAATAATCGTTACTACCTTAGAGAAAAAGATCGGGTGTGTGTGACAGACTGCCGTATCAGCTGCAACTTGCTAGGAAACACACAGAGCACGGCATGCCGGTCTTGTAATACGAACCAGCTGATCAAAAACGAAGGAAATATCTACTTAGCCGTTAGAAAACTAAAGATTGACACAAAACGATAAGTGGCTTGCTCACCATCGAAGACTGTTGTCAACATACGTTGCTAAGTGCGCTTCGGGATACGAAGAGTGAAACCTGCAAGACACTGAGACCTGCCGACTTTTGTTCTTTTCGCCAATCGATTGCATGGATTGCACCACGGTAAACGCGGAGCCCAGTCCACAAAATCAATTATCATCGAAAGGCTTTTGTGGGTACACTCCCTAACAGTTTCACGGGACTACCGGCGAAATATTGAAACGCGATCAGCTACGCTGCCTTCTATCGACTTGTCGGAGACGGCAACGTTTGTACAAAGACAACTCCATCAATCCAATCGCCGAGCAGCTGCACTCGCAAGAAAGGTGGCAAATTGAAAGACAAATAAAAAGATCGTACTCTAGCCGCTGGCATGAGAACTCAATATGTATCCACCTCTCTATAAGTACTTTCTGCAAATTGTGTTCTTAGTAACGACTGCTAAACATGTTATTTAGAAAGTTCTTATGATGATGGCTTAGAACTGAAAGAATGAAGCACGGCCATTTTAAGCTTCGCGTCACAAACAGAGCAAACAGGGCGGAGAACGACTTAATTCAAGAACACAGAGTTCAAATCAAGACTGAGTCAGATCGATACTCTTCTGATTCAATCAGACATCTGGCTCTTAATAGCGTCAATGAGGAGAAAAATGTTGGATAAGTTTCCCTTTTAATCCTAGTGACTAGTAGGTAATTTACTCTGGTGTGTTTATTGGAAGAACTCATGCCATTGTTTTCTTCGAGCTTGCCGTAGAAGTGACATTGCAATTTTAACGAAATTTGTCGAATTCGGCAAGGTCTTGGGCACGAAAATAAACGTAATTAATATTTATCAACTTACAGGTGATAATTTTAAAAAAACGAAACGTTTGAACATTTTACAGATTGTCATTAAGTCGTCTTTCTATGTAACGTGGATATCAGTATTAAGAAAGCCAGTGCGCATGCGCGAAGAGACTCGTGGCATAGGTAAGTGGGCTGTGTTGTCCGAACCAGCCACATTCCTTGCCGATTACACTGTTCAGATCGATAAGCTTTTAAAAGTAACGTGTAGAAAGCAATGGCATGAGTGAGTTGTATAGTATGATGAGATATGCGTGGGACATAACGAATCGGAACCTGCCGCCAACTGAAGTGCGAATTACCCTTACTGATCACTCCATTTGGCTTCTATTGCTACTATAATACCGCTGATATATCTGATTTTGTTACATGATTTGGAAGTCATTGGGAAATTTCAAAACAATGGCAGGTGAAACAGACTGAGCTCATTTTATAGAGTGTATTGAATTTCAGTAGTTGTTAATGAGTGTCAATTTAGTATACGGTCAAACGGGTAAAGCTGGCATACAGGCTTAATCGATGCTTGTATCGCAAATAAACTACGCGTCGTCGACGAGTTTTAAACATCGAGATAACATTTCTTCTTATCTCCACCATGGTTTCCACAATAGTCAAACATATCCATTTTGAATGGTCCTAAATTCGCTCTTAATTTGTCTTGAAAATTAATCGCATATGTGCTACAAAAGCACATACACCCAAGACTTCTCTCAATCGCAAACACAGGATGTGCCGTTCATGTATTCCGACTCTAGAGCTGACATTAAAGCATAGAATGGGAAGCTGTTATGACCCCCAGATCGTTCGGCAGCTACCCTAATTCACGTCCATCAAAAGTCCATTACATTGGCCATATTTAGGACAGAGTCATCTTGAACTGTCATTAGTCGACAGTCACATTATAGGTATTCTTCCTGTGCAATGATAGCAATGTTTTGCAATGATACATTTACTCTACGTCTGTGACCTCTAACATGTTCCTGTCATGCAACTGTCAATCGTATTTTTTGACAGGTAGTGCCAGTTTTACTTTTACATTTATAGATTCAATGCGATAAATATCAAGTACTAGTAAAGTACTTTAGTCAACAAGTTACGTAATATTTCAGGAACACCTGTGTGCACGTTACTGTGGTCCTTGACTGGCTTCATCGTATTGGTCAATATTGAAACAAATGAGTTTCGTTACGAACAAACTGAAAACAAGATGCATATAACGTATCTACGTAATTGCTTTATTGTGAGCTGCAAAGATCCTTCACCGTTGACCGGATAATACTTTTAATGTATATGGGTGTCTGTGATGTGGTAAAAGAAAACAATGAATTAGCGAGGGGCCAAATAAATGCACATACGGTTATAGATATATCCCATTGCATCTCGAAATGAGTCTGCGGGCGACGAACTATGCTTTAAGTGCAAGGTCCTGATCTCTTAAGCTGAAATTTATTTGCCGTTTCATTCACACTAATGCAGAGTCTTAGCCGCTTTAATACGGGTAAACTTGTGGCTAGTTCTCTGGTTTCTCCGCACTCTTTTTCATTCGCTCATCCCTTGTGGGGGAAAATCACAAAGATTGAATAGAAACACTGTCGCCCTTCTCAATATTTGAAGTAAAATGACACCGTCTGGGATCTCTTTTCACTGCTACGTTCTCCTGACATGGGCGTTACTTAACTCGGTAAGACGAAATGCACCTACCGCTGTCGGCACCTATATGTAATGTGTATCACTACCGCCAATAGAAAATACTCCTCACCCAGTAATTGGTTTGAGTTTTTGTGTGTGAAAAGGCGTTCTCCCTCTGGCTGGAATCGAATTAAAAAAGTACCCTATTCCACCACCCATCTCGTGTGTATATAATGTCGTCCCACCCTCCCGGTCGTTTCTGCTGTTACAACTCGAATTTAGTAATTCTTCGCATACAAAATGCTACTAATTCAGAGTGGTTCGCAAGGTTCCCACGGCGGTGCCTGGCTCCAGTAATCTGCGAATACTATACCTGAATTAATTTTCACAAAATTGGCGTATTGTATGCAATCCCCATTCTAATAACAAGATAGAATTATTACTGCGGACTGGTAAATATATGATTCTCTTTGTTTTAAGCCGGATAAGCTGGGGGCAGTAAATGCATTAGATTAATACCGAACAAAATTAATATGTTACCATGTTACATATAGTTTTGAAGTCGACAGTTATGGCTGAATTGGGATTATGTAAAATTCAAAATATCCAATATCAGCAGCTGAATAGTCTCTGTGCATATATTGTGAAAGCACGCAGTATTAGTCGTTTACTTGGGACGAGCAGAATCAATGAATTGTTCATTACCGGTATAATGCATTTTCATCTTATTTTCTGCGGCCGTGTGAACTCTCTTGGTGAGTGGATTGGGTGTTGGACATGTGGAATAATCGTTCCAAATGCATGTTATGGTGTCTCACAGATAAAACTGGTTCGGTGAACCGTGCTACAACACACCTAGACAAGTATACTTGCGTTGGTGTATACGAACACAGGATGTTATTGTGTTGAAATGGCATTGGAAAGCGTGCAGCACCACCCAAATAATTAACAGGGCCATTGAAAACTTGATTATTCTGGCATGTCCCTGTGTCCCAGGTGTAGTGACTTTCTATTGTTCGCCGTAGAAGAAACCAATGACTCTATCCGTAGCCCATTGTAAGGTCTCTTCGGGGTTATGTGCTTTTTAGTCAAGTACTGTTTTCAAAGTTGTCGACAAGTTTGATGGAATAACTTCCCTTCATTGGACCACACGCAATGCGCTCCAATAGCCTGATATGTAACTTATACACCTCCCCGATTCACTAAAATACCGAATGGTACAAAGGCGAACATTTCGGATCAAACGGTTGTTGAAGAGTAACCTAGGCGCGGTAAGCGTGTTCCGACGCCTCTTACACAGGCAATTGAACTCGACTTTAACCTGGGGCTAACCGATGATCAATGCCGAGTTTGTGTGCACTCGATAGTTCTTAAACTTGGATCATCTACTCCAATCTTTTTTTATTAATAACTTTTTGTTTATGTGATAATGAAGATGTTTGCAAGACCCGTCATAATACCACACAGAGTACAAACATTACAAACGCTATCATTACAATATACATGGGAAGTAACGACAAACCATTTTTATTCTTTCTAATATTTACATCGTTGGGCAGTCCTTAAATATTTAAACTTTTCTTGTTATTACAATAACAACTAAAAATAACTAGAAAATATAAAGTCTGTATGAAATGTTGAAAACAATTAACGAATTGTTTATAAAGCGGCTGAAGCAGAGTGATTTAAACATGGTAACTTTTACCCGGTCGATATATTTGTGATGATCCGACTTTTAATATACAATGAAATAAACTGTCCTTAATACTGAATAATAGTGAACTCGACTTTGCAGCAATTATAATGTCAATGCAACATTAAAAAACATTTAAAATAAAGCGAATCGGTATGGTTGTGGAGAAAATACGTCGTTGTAGAATGCAGTGCAAAGGACTTCGTTTTATGCGGATGGCATAACGTTGGGGTATGTGACTAGTAGTGTGTTGTTCATTTACTCCAACCATCACTAATACATTCAGATGAGTTTTCTATATACTTTGAAGAATATTACGAGCACGGACTGGATACTGAATGTTCAATGTCCGAGTCGCTGCCAAGAATTGAACCTTTCCGCCTACAACTCATATCGAGTTCACGTGTGTCTTCCGTGTCTCTGACGACCTCTATGTTACTTTCATCTTCGTCCAATTCACCGGCGTTTGTCGTTGACGATAAACCGAGCAACTGTGACCCCTTTTCGGCGCTTTTCTTGTGTGATGTGGTTTCTACTGCTGCTCTCCTGATTGATTCTTGTTGCTCGCGTTTCTGTTTCCTCCACTTTGCTCGACGGTTCTTGAACCATACCTGGACATAATAAAAACCACAAATTATTAATAATGATATACGAACTAAAGTTTATTTGTGGACGGTCTGACAATATTTAAGTTTTTTGCAATGCTACATTCCAGCTTAAATGTACTGGTGGGAATTAAATATCACTGCTCTTGTACAGTCATATGTGTATGTAATCACCCAGAAGACATTGCTAACATTTACAAGTAAATTGCATTATTGCCTGCCCTGTAACCTTCTTACCCACAGTGCATCGCGATTCGGGTTTTGGAAGTTGAAATACACCGAACCACGGTTAGTAACCGTGACCGAACTAATCAGAAGACTTCCCATGTTAGTGTATTTAGAATCGAGATTTTACAGGCAACAAAAAATGCCAATTGATCTTAGTTTGTAGATAAATGGTATTAATATAAGAGGGTCAATGAAGCCATTCAATGTTTTTACTCTCATCGTCGTTCAAAAATGCAACCGGTATTTAAAACACTCGTAATTATTAAAACTTTAGTATGATTAGGCTTAAAAAAAGAATAAGTTATTTTTTCTTATGCAAGCTCTCATGAAAAAATCCTATTATAACAGTTAACATTTCCTACGAGTAGATAGACTTTGTGAAACCTTTAAACAGAAGCAATTTTTTTCCGCAGAATTAAATCTCTAATTGTCATGACAAGATCGTTTTATATTAATATTTTAGACTACTGTCTACTAATTACTAATTACTTTTTGAGACGAAGCGTTTCAAGTGTACCAAATAAATCACATAGTATGGCCGATAATTTGGTATAATAATAAGAATTATTATTATAATGACAATTCATTAATTGAGAAGCCGAGTTGTTGAAATTTTAAAAAAATATCGCGAAACTCTAGACAACCGGCAGAGTTAATTGATTAAAAAATACTCTCTCCTTCAAGGTATAATTACTAAATTTATTTTTACGATTTCCAGAAGCGAATCGAGTAATATTACCAGTTTAAGTACATGCGGTTAGTGTGGAACCATGAGTATACATGTTCACAATCGGGATGTTTACAGCAAAGAAAAAAAACATATGCCTCCCCGCTTAAAGCAAACATTGTTGAATTACTAGTAATTTCACGGACGAGGTGTTTCTGAACTCAACAATCGTTGATCTGGATTTAACGAGATGATGTTGGATGTATCATTAACTCTCTTATCATAGTTGTTTTTCTTAATTCTATAATTTATATCGAAGCTGCCGAAGCGATGTGATGTATATAATTGCAGTGCCCATGATACGCTTTTTTTCTGCTTATACCGACAGACTGTGAACGAAATATAAGGCCGTGACTTGTCTTTGTGGTTCGAAATTGGCATCGTCGCACATGCGCATTTTCTTTTCCCACGAGTACAATTTTGATCAAAATCAACTCTCTGCAAGTTAAAGTTATTTTGAGTGACAGCTTACACAAACGTATGTGTTTGCGTTTGGGATTGTTAGCCGAATTTAAAATGTTTGCCTTTAGATTATTATGGACCAACCCTTAGCATCAAGCTTTAATTATTCATATAGAGCCACTCAGACAAATGGACCTATTAACACATTACCGATAGCTTATTGTCTTATCCTTTCGTTTTTGTTCAGCCCAACGGATTAGCACCAACACGTTACCCGCGTCCGGGATTTAGATAAATTAAAACAAATCAAAGTTAGTGAATGGTCGTCATGTTGACCCAAATCCGGAATGCAAATGCAAAAATTGAATGGAATAGTATTGTTCCGATGTTTATCAGGGCAAGGCGTAGGTCGTCAAGTTATTTATTTAACCATCGTTGACAGGTAATGAATGAAATAGCAAGATACTAGGTTAATTTCAACATTACTATGGGCAGAATAACTAACTAACGACCGACCAAGATACGTTTAAAATAACTTTACGGCCCACCGTTTAAGACAATCTAAGTATCGAATCAATCATCTGAAAGTATTATTTCCTTTTTGACGAGAAACTCGGAGAAGGGAAAATGTATTCGTCATTGTTTATCAACATTCATTTAGTAAGAATGTACCTTTAATTAGTGCTTTCGTCAAGATATAATCTAAATGATTCGCATCATTTCTCTAATTTGTTAACCAACCCCAATCCAAATAAAAAAAACAGAGCGTCGTAACTGTGAAACTGTTTGTTTCGCGTAGGAAGAATGCAGTGGGTCATTCGTTATGTGAAGCATCATTGTGAGCGGTGGCGAGCGTTATAATTGACGCTGAACTACACGGTAGTAAATGCACCAGTCAATGTTCGTCTACATTAAACGATCTTTCCGATCGTGGGTGTGCCACCGAATCCACGCGTGAATTGAACAAGCCAGCTGAACACAACTGCTCAGCAAACACGGTGTTTTAAGAATTAGGTTAATACTTACTTCCACCCGCTCTTCCTTCAAATCTGTTTTCATAGCTATTTCTTCTCGTAGCATCACATCTGGATAGTGCGTTTTATCAAAAGTTGCTTCCAGTTCCTCTAGTTGTTCTTCGGTGAAAATAGTACGGTGGCGACGTTTCCTTTTCTGGTTACGACCAAAGAAATCCAAGGCTGGGTATCCATGGAATGCCGGGTAAGCTGCCGCGGCCGCCGCTGCTGTAGAAAAAAAAACACAAGTTGAAACACTGTTAAGAATCAACGCGATTTTACATGTATTTAATTTATACAACACGCTAAGCTGTTTTAGAAATTAAGAATTAAAAAAATAATTCACAAATATATTTGATATACTGTTTTTTATTGTTTACATTATAAAAGCCTTTTAATTGCAGCTCACGCAAGTCCATACTAGCATCGAGCGTTTTAAAAAATAACTTATGTATAGTTTCAATACAATCATGTAACATATATCTTCTGGCTGTACTTGATATATACTATACTCGGACGCAAATTAAAGCCTCGCCGAATATTGATATGGATTATAATTCGATATTAAATCGTTGGTTTGTTAAACATATGTTGCCGCCAACTTTATTAATTTAGGTTATGTGAATATACGTAATATATCATATAACATTTTTTACTATCTCAAGACTACGGATTCGCATATTATATTACGACTATCTGCGCTGTGAATGACATAGTCTTGTGGCGTTCGGCAAGGAAGCATAGCTCAGAAACAGTGAAGATTGGGGGGATGGTGTTATTTAATGAATTTGACGTCCCAGGATGGATCCTGTGAAATTTTGTCTAAAAAAAGGGACAGATATTTACATAAATTATAAAACGGGGTCCTTCATTTTTTTATATGTGAGAGATGTTTACTAGGATTAATGTCATAGCAATTTCGTTACTTTACACCTAAATTGCCACCATTTTATTACGAATTTGTCGGGCGTAACGCGGTGATCTGGAGAAATCACACTTGTTCAAGTAAAACACGAGCGTTGAAACTTTACTTTTTTTCACATTTAATGGTGTACTCTTGATGGTCTATGGCATATCTGAGCTTATCTTTTTAGTTTAATTATTTGAAACTGTAGCAAATAGTATACATGTACGCCTTTTTTATTTCTACATCGATTGAATTACGGTTTGATTTTTTCTGCAAAATGGAACTGTGAATGAAAAATTCTGTGAACTCACTCGAATATGAGATGGAGGTAGGAATAAAGAGGCAGACTATTATATTTTACCTTCATGAATATGACTATTTATTAAAATGCAGATAACGTAATTGTAAAATCAACAGCGGCGTGATGTATTGCCAGTTAGGCGGTCTGGAGTGTTCGAACACTAACGAACATCGATTTAAAATGTATTTGACCATTTCGTGGTTCAAGTATTTAAACATGTGTATCGACAACTGTGTTAAACCCATGAAACAGAAACTATCTACTAAACACTGTGAATGAAATGGTATCAGCTATACGTATATTGATTTTTATAAAAACGTATCTTGATCCAGAACGGCATGGTTCGTTTGTTATTCTTGTTATAATGTTGAAATGAATGAATTTTTGGCAGGTGTTCACACCTGCGCTCCCGTTCAAAATGTCATCATACTCTCGCAAGCTGTAGTCGCGATAGTTTGTTCAACATATCCGGCAAGCTCTATTAGCCCACGTAACGTGTCTCGCCGAGTTGACAACGGCATGTGTTAATCATGTTAGAACATTTCTAACTGGATTATGGCAGACTGAATCGGGATATAATTTGGTAAACAAGGTCGCTAGGTATAACATGTGCCTTGATAGTGTAGAGGGAGAAGGGACCCACACAATCGTCATCAAGATAGAAAACACTCAAAGGCTTGGTGCTCACCAGAGTGAAAATAATACCACACATTTTAAAGACAGAGGCGTATTTCGTCTTCATTTTTGCCTTATCTATAATATTACTTGCGAATTTGCACTGTGATCGGCTTGTTATACTTTTCTAATCACAGTCTTAGCGAGTAGAGGACGTGTAATATTTTCTGAACCGCCACGTCGGGTGCAACTGCTACATATACAGAGTGCATAAACTAATTTAGTTCAGCTCTCTTCTAAATTGACATTCAGTGCTATCAAGCCACTTCAAGGATATGGTGACGAATACTCGTTTATGTTACATATTAATTCAGTCTCCTTATGGTTTATCTCCCGGGGTCCCCATATCCATTTAGGTGCCTTTATGGCACCAACTCAAAACTGTACATCGCTGTCATATTCCGACTATTTTTTTTAATATTTTCGTATTTATCTGTAATTCATCACACAAGTTTTAACATAACTCTCTGCTACTCTGGATGTACTATTTCAATTTTAGATTATTACCTACACCCACGGCTGCGTTTTCTTCTTCCATTTTTGCAAGAATCGCCGAGAGAAACAAAACAACATTTAATCATCTCATGGTCTTTTCGATTCCCAGGGTAAGAACATTAATACCTATTTGTTAATGGGTCGTACAAAGAGAATCACCCTCCGTCAGAAGTGTTTTACACGATTAGGAATAAATAAACATGTTACAATTTAAAAGTCCAAATGAAATAAAACATGCAGTTCACTACGCAGCCGATAACCGTATATATATATATACACATTGGATAATTGATCATTTCACATTTCTGTTTTTTCTTCAAAATGTCAGGAACTACCTGCCCCATTTTCGAAACAACTATAGGTTTTAGATGCGAATACAGAAACACACGTCCTAAAAATAACTAGTAAAGAAAATGGGTTCATTTTATGACAGAGAACATCGCATATTATGAAAATGAATTGCTTACAAAGCCGCATTTAGGTATATGTATCGTCCCTTGAGGCGGGGGTAATGTCGGCATCTTTCTACGTTGGAAAGAACATCACAAACGCGTCAGAGAATAAACCGATTTTGCTAATGTACGCGCATTTTGTATTTGTAAGAATTGTTTCACTCTCAAGTATGGCTTCTAATAGAATAATGGGCTAATTCGTGACAATAAAGCTAGTTTTCTGTGGCATTGTTTCCCGCACGGGCTCATTTAAACGACTCAAATCTAGTTCTTAATTAGTGAGTAGAGCCCATGCTGTGACTACCAATAAAAAGATGGCGGATTGGAGCGGTAAGATTTGTGGTAGAAATTATTCCGTTCACACTCCCACGTCACATACCACTAGTTATACAGAAAAGACATATTTATCTGATTTACCTACACCTAAAACTGACAACTTAAAAAAGGGTGTCCCGCATATGATAGTGTTACATGGTTTCATTGTTTTGTTTTGGGGGGAGGTCACCCACTGTGTTTCGTTGTTTGTGGGAAAACTGTGATACACTAAATCATGGGAAGTCCCAACACTGGTGAAATGACAAAGTAAGGTGTTTTGACTACTTACCTAAGTGATGGTACTCTGGTGGTAGCGTATGTAGGTGTGCTGGGTGTGGAAAGAACGGATACGGCGCAGGTCTGGCAGCGTGTATCAGCGTGGGTCTTGGTGCAAGTATACTTTCAATCGTAAAAGCTGATGGCGATGCGCTGGTCATATTAAGCATGCTACTTGACGACGAATATATACAACTAACACTACAAGAACCAGTGTGAGATAGATCTTCTCGGCGGTAGAATAAACAACTCGAATGACTTCACTTATCACTTATAAACAGTGTCGGGTCGCTTTTACTCCGGCAACAACGTCTATGTATTCTTGTGAAGGTGTCGTCAGTTGCCCAGTTATATTTGGTGCTAGTATGTAGTAGGTTGGGATGTGGCGTGGTCTGCGTACGAGTTGAGAATGTCTAGGTTTATCCCACGTAACAGGGTATTTGTAAACGAAAATAGCGCTAATACCAACAAGAGGCTGACAGTAATTTATTTTCACAGTGCACGTCACGTCAATGGATAAAGTGTTATTGTTCTAAAGTATAAGCCTCCCAGTTGACGCGGAGTTGAAAAGGTGCTACAATGCTATTGGTGGAATTTTGCATATCTAATTAGAATGTAAGGAAGGTACAGCCCATCCCATTAGCGACAAAATCTAATCCTTGTTTAGCGAAGGGTAATTATAAATATAAGCATGTCAGAATCAGATTAGTTGTTTTGTTAACAAAACACCAATAATTACTTCGACTCTTCTCCCTTTATCGCTAAATTCGTTGATTGATGGGTTTGCCCAACCCACTCGATTTCCGCACCAAGTCCACAATGTGTACATTACAGACTGAATGCGTAGCGGTGTTCCTAACATGAATGTTATACCAGGGCTGTTTGTCTATTTTTTCCACGCTAAGGTTTTCATTTCTATGGCTTCGAGCAAAACCAGAGTTTCTGAATGAACCTATTTCTTTCGTCGGTGACTGTAATTTGTAACGAAAGACAAGGGAAGGCTTTCTTGTAGTGCCCTTGTGTGGCTACTTATGGGTGTTTGAGGAGGTGGCGAAGGCTCTGATTAATTACATTTTAATACCGACTCAAATTGGTCCAATATTTGAGAAGATTAACGCGCTCTAAGAATCGCTTCGAAATAAAATAGCGTAACCCTGGCATGACCACCGGACATTTGGCGATATATAGTAATTCTGATTATCCAAGCCCTCTAACACTAACTGCTACATTACTTGGACTGGGCATGCAAAATAGAAATACACTAGCCTGTTTAGGTGCTTTGTTCCCAAACAATATGTCTTTATAAGGTTTGGACATTGAAGGCATTTAAGGTTCATAGGAAACCGGACGAACTGTTACTAATGAACTAATCTGCTTTGCAAAGGTAATGCAGCTATGTACACAAACTTGTGGAAGGCCTCGTCAATATAATATGCTGCTTCCATGGTGTAATGTGCGCTTTGTTCTATTCAGTGGAATTGAAATTCGTTTGCAAGAGACCAATGAGCACAAACTCGCACGGCACTTACGCGAACAGGGAATGATTACCATTGCCGAGTCAGAACAGTGCATCGGGTAGTAGCCTGAGGCTGACCAAAACAGTTTTACTTATTCACATACATGTACCTGGCAAAATTTGTTTTAGAGACTAGAAGTGGGTGTTTTCTTTTGAAAACCGTATTATCACGCGAAGGGGTGGCTTTTAGTGCGCAGGATTCAGTTTAGAAAAAAAACACCTTAAGAGTTCCAATTTATCAAATTGAGACAGCTAAGTCGACTTTAGCGGTTTCCGATATTCCTTCTTAGTTTCGGACAAAGTGAATTCACAGCAAAAAGGGTTCCGTCCGATCAGCAATCGAGTAGGTTTCACCCGCTGGCTAGTTTAGTCGAGATATGACCGACTACCATAGATCTTTAATGTTATGCTCCGATCTGCCTTCAAAGAAGCCGTTCCTTGCAAATCGCAGTAAGTGATTTATTAATTAGTACTTTGCGCCTTTCCCGGGGCAGGCACCATTGTGGAATTAGGTGATCATTCTAAAGATCTGATCAGTATATGCAGACTTGCCTTGCACGCAGTTAATTCGTCTTCTGTCCTATCAAAAAAGGGGAATACGAAGATTTGCGCCGTCTCCACCTCGCCTGCGTATCTACCGTCCCATAATACAGTCGACTGGACAATAATAGACAGCATTATCCACAACGAACCTCACAAACATATAAAGTGAAAAATGTTTAGATCGTAGAAAGAATGCATTAAAGTAACGTTCCTATGGTGTTACTCACTTGACTTTCAAATACGGCGTACCGTACAACAACTCGATTGAAATACACAACTATGCAGGACTTAGACATGCATGCCTTGCTATTTAATGGAGACCAACGCATGCACACATGAGTGAACCGTTTTGTATCAGATACACCGTGATAACCTTAATGACGTCATACACATATGCACTCGTACACTGAGACAGGTGTATTTTTCAATATGAAAGATTGAAATTATGTGATAATTATTTTATTCGTGATTTTACATAAAGGCAATAGCTGTATGTACGTTCAACGTACGCTAAGTACTGTGATTGTTGGCTCTCGTTCGTCGGTAAATTCAAGTGAAAATGCAAACAATATTGATATATACCTGTATAAATATCTTACTGTTGCTACTTACATATACCGTAGTACTCCCATGGTGCATCTCACTTATGTGCACAACTTCCTGTCGTGGAGACAAATTAATGTTGGCTTCCGTTGCACGGTTATGTAATCTATCTTGTATATTTATAAGCTTACTTGAAACATGTCTTTAATTATAATTATATTCTTATGGTGCAATGATTCCCACGCACGCGCACACACACATACACACACACACAAAGTAATGCAATTAATTTTTTATTTCATTAATAGTCGCATAAGAGACCCATAGCATAGTGTTAAACGCATTATAAACAGTATAATCACACTGAAATGAAACTAAAATTTACGTGTTGTTATTTACCGATGTAATTCTTTTTACAAGGGGCAATGAAACTGTAAAATGCACATGTCTAAATTGTCTTCATTGTAAGTGGTCAAATGTACACTTGAAGATGTCAGCAATTTGTCACATGCCAATCTATATGGTTCAATCGTTCATTATTTCTAATTATGAATGCTATGTCATCATTTGCGGACTCTCCAGAAATCGACAGAGAAGAAATCGACTCCGAAACTTCGATGTCTGTGTAGCTACAAACCTTAAAATGGTGCAGCTCAGCGAATACGCCTCTGCGTTGTGTTCCTGGTGTAACGTCACGATGTACTTATGAATATGCAATTAGTTGTGTACTTTGCGAAGCATATAGTAGCTCGAATTCATCAAGCCGGCTATATAAAAAAGGTGTTTTTGATATCAAATAATTATTATAACGCTGTCCAAACGTCCAACACATGTTCATATTCATATTAGCTGCCTATTTTGAAATTTAGAACCTAGGCATTTCACAGGCACTTCAAATGTAATGTGTGTAACATCCAGCTTCCACCAGTCAAAGTGCCCAGTCAAATACGCGAGATTCCACAGATTAAGATTCCCGATAAAGTCGTGGATACAAAGATTTACCTATAAACTATATTTTCTTATATTACTGAATATTGATGTGATATTTTTTCGCTTATTTCGCTGTTAGCAAAATGTGATATTATAAAACTCGGTGGAGAGCACAATCATCCCGACGTAAAGATAAATAGAATGTATCGTTTTTTTTCACAAACTGGTGTTTTCAAAACTAAGGGAATATTCGCTAGATAAAACACAGTAAATACTTCGACATTATACATCGACGTATATTCTAAGCAGGAAACTAGTAATAGTTTTGTTTTCTCTTTGTGTTAATCTGAACTTTGTTTTATTTAAATTGTCAGTATTATAACGCTATCGGGAAAATTATACACGTAGATTGTTGTGACTGTGGTCGCCTACAATATGTTATCTGTCTTCCCATGCCAACCACTTTTTTTTATTCATTCGTATAAGTGTAAATAAAGATTGTTAGTTTGCACGTTACTTGAAAGCATTGCAAAGGTTTCAATATATGTTGTGTATGCTTATTTTATCTACCCTGCAAAAACATCGGCAAATATGGAAAGATTTGCACAAAATATCCGGGCTGAGACAACCTGTGGCCGAAATGTCCGGGCTGAGACATCTGCGTCCGAAATGTCCGGGCTGAGACGTCGGCGGTCGAAATGTCCGTAAATGCTCGTTTCAACTCCAACTTTAGCGAAAAACAACGAAAAGAAGAAACCTGTCATAAGAAAAAAATAGTTGTGAGATTATGTAAATTAACACCAGTTATCATATCATATTATATGTCTAATTCTTAAACCGAACCTCAATGCGGCCTTAATTTATAGTTGTGTATATTATAAACTGTATTTGAAATACAATTGAAGTGGTTTAATTTTGTTTTAATTATGACTGTAGCTTGGAGAGACATTTGAAATGCTTAAAATTAAACCCCATGGAGGCCATTCAACAGTCGATCTGCAAATTGTAGGTAATCGCGATCTCTCGGTAAAAAGTCGGACCACGAAAAAGTGGTCTGAGGTAAAAACTAATTTGGTAAATCGCATAAGTATAGCCAAAATCAGGCCCATGTTTGAGGTATCAAGCTATAACTAAGAGTACGAAACGTCCGGGTGGTTCCAGTAAAAATGGCAGAGGACATAATGACACCACCCTGACATTTCGGCCACAGGAATATTTATATACTAACTAGTAGCTTCGCAATGAATGGCTTTTTCGATGAGTGGCTTTAGCAGTGAGTAGCTTTCTCTGTCACTGGTCCTTTCATAGGAGTTGAGACTTAATGTTTTACATGTCATGAACAACTTGTGTTAATGTTGGAATACCATCCTTAGGAGCTGTTATTTTGTCCTTATGATTTGTGCAGTTGTTCTGGCAAGAGTTCCCTAATTTCTTACTTCGACTAGGAACCAGTTGACCATTTATAGTATGGGTTTTGCACCACGCGCTCTTGTTATACTGCTAAGTGACACATTAGTACTATAAATACTGATCTTATTATTATTATTATTATTATTATTATTATTATTATTATTATTATTATTATTATTATTATTATTATTATTATTATTATTATTATTATTATTATTATTATTATGCTTCTATATTAATTATTACTAATGAATTTCAATACAACAAATTAAACACTTTAGTGCTGTGAATGTTCCGATGACATTTGCTTTAATCTGTAAACAATGTAAGATGCATATTAAATAAGAAAATGTGAATTTCTTTAGATCAATTGAGAAATATGACAAGGCGTTCCGGTGAAGTTGATTTGATCCACGAAATTGTGATGTAATTTGAAATGCTTGTAATTGGTTCTGTAATTTTCTAAACGTGCTAGATGATGAATCAGGTAAAATA